GGACAGAATGGACAATGCGATGTCAGTGAAACATCAACAAGCAATGTACATCCTGATACATACAAAATGGCACAAAGTAGCACAGTGGAAGACTTAAGATAAGTCCTGACCTGACCGGGACTGACGTGACATCCCATCATACACCACACATGTGAGGGAGGAACATGGAAGAAAGGTCCCTCCTTGTACACGCACATGGGGAGATACCACAGATGAGATATGGGGGGAGAGGCGAGACGAAGATGGAGGCGAGGGAGAAGAGCGAGATAACAATAGCGAAGTCCAAAGATAGTCCCTTGCCAATGCCCAATCAATGTCTGCCTCAAAGATGTCGGATCAGATCCTTGGCGCGCTGCCCATGGTAACCTCTGCCTGTATCCTCTCTCTCTCTCTCTCTCTCTCTCTCTCTCTCTCTCTCTCTCTCTCTCTCTCTCTCTCTCTCTCGTATCTGAGGAAGAAGAAGAAGAAGAAGAAGAAAGGAGGAGGAGGAAGAAGAAGGAGGAGGAGGAAGAGAGGGAGGCTGACGAAGAAGAAAATGTCGCCTCCCTTGCTGCCTCACCTGCAGGTGCTAACGCCGAACTGACCGCCATTCTGTGTCGTCGTGTGCAGGTCATGCGTGCATGGGGAGTCCCAGCTATGGCGCCAGGTAAGTCCCCTTCATCGCAGGTATGGCCTCCACCCCTCTGCCTTCCGGTGCTCAGCCTCCAACTCAGTAGCACAGCGCTAAACAGCACAGCACTGAACCAGCAGCGTGTCGCTCAAGAAGTGAGCTACTCGAACTGTCCTGTAAAATGGCCCTGGCTGGGCATGCCTCTGAGGCTGGCCTAACACGGCCCACCCAGTCTGGGCCCCTACCCGGTATCCAGACCGTGCTGCTGATGCAGCAAGGCGCCAAAACGCGCCTGGCCTGAAAATGGCCTCGCTGGCAGCCCAAGGCCGTGCCTTGGGGACTGCAAGTCCGAAGCGACGTCTGAACAGACAAAATAGGACAGCATATTCAAATAAACAAATAAATAAATGCTGCCTCAGGCTATACCTGCGGTCTAAAAGGCCACCGTGGGCCTCCAGGGTGCGTGCTGGATGGCGCGCGGCCTGGGGGCCCCTCAGTAACCGTCAGGCCCCTCAAATGGGGCCCGTGTGCAGGCGCAGCATGTAACAGAGAGAGAGTATGGCTATCTCCCCCTTCTATGCCGAGAAAGTTGCACTAACGAGAGAGAGAGAGAGTGTGTAAACCCGCCGTCCCCTACTGCATCATACATTTTGCTGGCCCCACGAAAGCTTCAAGTTCAATAGAGGGACATGAGAGAGGGAGAGTAAGCCCATCGTCCCCCACTCCATCCTACATTTCACCGGCACCATGAAAGCTTCAAGTTCACAAAAGCCGCACACGCGTGTGGATATATAGTACGATTACATCTCCCTTGACTGACCTAACTCAACTTGACACACCAAGGGACTGGACCCACAAGTATGAGGCAACTTTCAAGTGTTTGAAGCATGCTCTCATGCACCACGAGGTTCTCATGGTACCCGACCCACAACGGCCATTTGTTGTAACCACTGACGCAAGCCAATACAGCATTGGCGCAGTGCTGGCTCAGCAGGAAGGGAAAAAGTTGAGACCGGTCGAGTACATGAGCGAAAAGATGCCATCAAAGAAGTTGGCAAAGTCCACCTACAAGAGGGAACTCTATGCTCTCTACAAGGCACTCATCCACTGGAGGCACTATCTGTTAGGAAGGTTCTTCTACTTGAGAACTGACTATCAGACCCTCAAGTGGATCAAGACCCAACCAGTTCTCTTCGATGCACTCAAACGCTGGATTGAAGTCATAGATCAGTATGACTTCAAACTAGACTATGTGAAGGGAGAGTACAACAAGGTTGCGGATGCGTTGTCTAGAAGGGAAGATTACCTAGGTGCGCTGATTTCTGAGTTTGGCTTATCTGAGGACGTGCCTCGATCCTTGGGGGACGCCTACAAGGAAGATCCCGTCACGATGGACATCATCAACAAACTGCAGGCCAAAGACAAGGTCACTTCTACAAGTTTGTGATGGTTGATGGGTTACTCTTTCTTGAAAAGGCAGGGTTTAAAAGGTTAGTTGTTCCATCTAGGGAGATTTTGCATAGTTTATTTTTAGGAGAGTGTCACGACGCAACGGGACATTTCGGCTACAAAAAGACTAGTGCTAATTTAGTATAGCGATTCTGGTGGCCTAACATGCTAGACGATGCAAAGAAGTACGTACAGACCTGTCATGTCTGTCAACCGGACAAGCCGCGCACTCAAGCTCCGCTTGGATTGCTCAAACCTCTACCCATTCGTGCTGGCCCAGGGCAGAGCATTTCCATGTGGACTTCATGGATACTCTCGTGACCAGCAAGAATGGCAAACGGCACATCTTCGTCATAGTAGATAGGTTCACTAAATATGTATAGACTAATTGCCATGCCAGACACTGTTAGGACTGAGCACATCATTAAGTTGTTCATGGACAACTGGGTGCGCGACTTTGGACTGCCAAAGAACATTGTTAGTGATAGAGATGTCCGGTTTACCAGCGAGATGTGGAAGAAGGCCGCTGAACAGATGGGCAACCAGCTTCAGATGACTTTTGGGAATCATCCCGAAGCAAACGGGCAAGCTGAACAGATGAACCGTGTGGTGCAGCATCTACTCAGGCATTACATCAAGCCCGGCCAGGATGACTGCGATGAGAAACTACCTCTCATCGCCAGTCTGTACAATAATGTTGTACACAGCACCACCGGTGTCATTCCTAATCAACTGCATCTGGGATGGAAGCCTAGATCTGCTTTAGACTTCCTCCTGCCTGAAAACCGGACTGTTGCAACTCCTGGAACCACTTAATTTGGTGTCCAGTATGAAA